AAGCTTTAATTTGAATTGACGTTTTTGGGTGGGCCAGTCAAACAGCTTTTAGCTTCCTTTCAATCATTGACAACGCCTACGCCGTGAAAATGTATTACTTTATCTTCAAACTGCATTCAAAATCCTCTTGAGATAATATATATATACTTATTTCCTGCCGGTATGCAGATGTTTAATGTTGTTACTAACAAAGTGAGACAGAAATATGAAAGATTCTTTGAATGAACAGGGCAATATATTTCAGACATCCTTTAATTAAAGTGTTTCCTTTAAATAATCGTATGATTAAAACAAGACTTTTCTTACAGCTAAAGTTAATCTATTGGTCTCATGCAGGGCAATAAATGTTTGATAATCTTCTGAGCGCCATGCTCACTGAGCCATAAACGATGCTACCCACAAGTCAACAGGTTCCTCATGTACTTTCTGCCCACCCTCGTGGAATGCGAAAAAACGCGGGAGTATCCTGGCAACGTTTCCCGCCAAAATCGGGAAAAGGCGAAGTTACTGCTGGTCTGTGACATAGCGCTATTTCCTAACTAATAGTGGTTTAGCATACAGCACTTTAGATTAAGTGACGTGGAGCGTCTGCGAAACTAAGACAAATGTCGTTTTAAGTAAACTTTCGAAAAAAAAAAACCAGTCGAGAATGAAAGGGTCACTAGAGATACTACCGGTCATCAGCTTGCCGTTGCCTAGCAACTCCTCTGACCAAAACAACAGGCTCTTGGCTCTCGGGGCTCTAGTTTCTGAAGTTTTGGTTAACTTTAACTATAAGTAACTATTAGGTTTCGTTAATATAGTCTCGTTTCATATCACCTTTATCAGTTGCAACGTAACACTTTTTTTTGTTCAATGGAGCCCTATAGTTATAGCGCGACAAAATAAAAGCTATTCCCTCTTTTATCCTATTTTCCGTGCGAAATCGTAATGGGCGAGAAGATAAGTTTTAAACTTATTTCCTTGTTGGACTTAAAACAAAACAAAAACCGGTACCGGTAAAACAAATACGCTCTATTAGTTTTCTCGTGAAAAGGTGTACACAAAGCCTTATCAACAGTAAACTGGCTGAACAATCTGTCTGATGAGATGAGACAACACGGAGGAAAACATAAAAGTCAATTCAGTCGAAAAATGATCAGGATTCGGTCAACATTGAGTTAGCTGCTCAAGCATGAAAAGAAATCGACGCAATTAGTCATGCAGCCAAATAATCTGAAGGAGATTAAAAACTTACTAAATGTGCGTTTTTAAGTTGCTGGAGATCATGAAAGTTCAAAGATATATAATGCGCTTAATGAGATTGTTGTCAAACAAGGAAATAAATGATTTATATCATTACCTCACCGCACAAGAAGTCAAACGCCCGGAGCGTGAAGCGGAAAGATTCTAATTAAAAAATTATTCTATTCAGTCCGGCAGCAAAGCTTGCGTCCTCCCATTCACTCTCACAAACAATGGCAACAGTGAAAGATGAAAAATATTCACCTCAATCACTAGAATGCCCAATCTGCAAGAACATCTTCAACAACCCAAAGATCTTGAAATGTCTTCACTCGTTTTGCCGCAAGTGCCTCGAGAGTTACGATGTGATCGGCGCGGGAACCAACTCCATTGTTTGTCCCCTCTGTCGAAAGCTGACTCCAATTCCGTCGGAGGGAGCCCTCGTTCTTCCGAGCAACTTCCTCCTGACAAACGCTCTGGATCATTTGTCCGTCAAATCAAGCAAAGAGTATACTCTTCATTGCACAAACTGCGAGGACGAAGCAGCGGCGACGTCGCGATGTCTGGAGTGCGCAGAGTTTCTGTGCTCGAACTGCGTTTTGGCTCACCGACGAATACGAGTCACCAAGGACCACCGCATCCTATCGCTTGACACGCTGCAGGCCGATAAGCAGACGCTGCACCGTCCTTCCTTCTGTGAACAGCACGTGGATGAGATGTTCATGTTTTACTGTGTACCGTGTGACCGACTGATCTGCCGGGAATGCACAATTCTTGATCATCGCGGCCATAAGTACGCTGGTAAGCAAGCCTTGCTTGTAAGCTACATACACTTCTTTCAATGAAGACTTTCTAGATTAATTTTTTAAGTATCTTCCTTCTCTTTTCTGAAGAGCTGACATAAATTCAGTAAAACCGCCTTGATCAAGACGACAATCACTTTTAGTCATCACACATGAATTCTATTTCATTTAAATTCACCGATGCCTCTGAAGGCTGTAAGTAGTACGTGGCTGTACTATATACTTTGGGACTTATAATCAGATTTGAATATTTTAAAAGTTACTTTCAAAATCAGTAATTCAAAAGTGCTATCCTTGAACTTGGTCACGTGCTCAAGGGGCACAAAGTGATTGGTTGTTACGTGTGCTCTAGACTGTTTTTGCATAAACGCATTTTCTAGTATTCCGAATGTACTCACTCAATACTTGAAATATTGACACTAGGTCTTAAAGAAGCTCTTGAAGAACGGAAGACCCTTATTGACGAGCGCCTGACCTGTTGTATCGAGAAGAAGATTCCTCCCGTACAAGATGCAGTGCACGAGGTCAAGGCTATGGCCGCTAAGCTACGTGCGCGCGCAGAAGCTGTCAAAAGTGAAATATGTGCTACTGCTGAAGAATGTGTCAAGCGAATNTTGATTTTGACAGACAGCTGAATCCTTGTTAAAATATTGGAACCAAATTGCCTGCCACGGCTATCAAACCGCAAAATAGAAGACTATAGCGCAGCTTCCATTTTCCTTATTTCTTCAATTTTCAGCAATAGAAATCAGATCAGTCTTTTCTCACGCAAAGCTAATGATTAGTTGATTAAAACGACTGGAAAATAAATTGGGGTGCCAATTTGTTAGCTCGTTAGTGAGCTGTAGCCATTTTTCAACTGACAGAACTCAATATAAAGGCAAATCCGCCATGTTTCCAATGTGCGCGGGCACGAGCGCGCGCTAGTGACGCCATGAATTATGAGTAGTAAGGATGCGCAATGGAAATGTGAGGAATCACCTTAAATAGAGGTAAAATTATTATTTTTTAAAAAATTACGTAGCTCTCTCCATGCAAATCGAATTTTCTTTCACTATTTCCGTTAATAGATTGACGCCTTAGAGCAAGAGAAAGAAGCAGTTCTCCGTAACCAACAAAATCAACTGGAAACAGAACTCTTCAAGTACACCAGCTCGCGCGACTTCGTCGAGAACGTGGTTCTGCATGGGAACGAGGTTGAGATCATTCAGCTTCGACAGTTGATGTTGGATCGCTTGGATGAGCTCAACGCAATAAAGCTGGATTACAAAGAGCCAGAAGAAAATGACGTCATCGATTACATTCTTGACATGGACGCTGTGGAAAACGTCGCGACTACCATGGGTCGAGTAGCATCAAGTGTTACCTTCACTGCTTCATGCAGCGCTAAGGGCCTGGGAATGAAATCGGGGAAGGTCGGAGTGGAGTCTTCCTTCGTCGTAGAAACGAAAGACCGCTTCGGAAATATATCAGTTGAAGGCGATCATACATGCCCCGTTCAAGTGAAAGTCCAAGCGCCAGAGGGGTTCTTTCTCGGCAACAAGGTCACCAACAACAGCGATGGTAGCATGAGAGTACGTTACACTCCCGTCACGCATGGCAAGCACATTCTGCACGTGGCCGTCAGAGGGCGCGAGATTGAAGGAAGTCCCTTTAGCGTCAACGTGGTTGAAGGAATTGATTATACAAAGGTCGGACCGACTTTCATGAAGATTGGTTCTCAAGGTACAAAAGCCGGCGAATTCAAGCAGCCTTGCTCCGTAATTACTGACAAGGAAGGAAATATCTACGTCACAGATTTTGTGAACTGTCGAGTACAAAAGTTTGACGCGCTTGGGAAACATCTTCAAGATTTCGGATCACGTGGAAGCAAGGATGGCCAGTTTCAGAATCCGTGTGGTATTTTGGTGGACGCCAATGGTATAATTATTGTGTCAGACTGGGATAACCATCGAGTGCAGCTGTTCAGCCCCGAGGGAAAATTTATTGGCAAGTTTGGAGCCAAAGGTAAGTTTGATGTGATGACGATGATGATGGCATTATTTTGCACAGTGTGCTTTCCTCTTCTACATGCAGACACTGAAAAATAACATTAAGTGCTGAAAACTTGTTAGAAAAAAGAACGTGTTTGGCGACAGCGAGAAGAACGATATTATGTTAAGAGTGACCTGCGAGTAGAAAATCATTTCCTACCTCTTAAGTTCATTTTATATGGGATCACACAACCACATAAAGCTAAATGGTAGAAATGAATCAAAAACCCACGCCAATTGTCAAATGTCTTTAATTTTAGGATCCGAAGAAGGGAAACTAAATCATCCCGCTGGCTTGGCCTTGACTAAAGATGGCAACTTACTTGTCGCTGATAAAGACAACCACAGAGTACAACTTTTTAAGATGGATGGTACGCATATCATGACGTTTGGTTCCCAAGGCAGTGAGGACGGCGAACTCAACAGTCCCAACCACGTAGCCACCACTGAGGACAACGGTTGCCTAGTAACCGACACTGAAAATAACCGCATCGTGAAGTTTGACTGCAGTGGCAAGTTCGAATCAAGTTTTGGCGAAAAAGGCAGTGGGAACGGGCAGCTTGATCGTCCCGCGGGAATTGCTGTGGATCCCGAGGGCTTTATCATCGTTGGTGACTTCCAGAACCACAGAGTTCAGATTTTTCAGCCTGATGGGAAATTTTACGCAACGTTTGGCAGCGAAGGCGACGCAGAAGGAGAGTTTAAGTTTCCTGGGGGTGTTGCTTTGACAAAGGACGGCCGAGTCATAGTGGCAGATAGGCATAACCACAGAGTCCAGGTCTTCTAAAATTTTAATAAGAAGTGTTGCTTGTTCGTAGAATAATCCCAGTTAACTTGGATTAGACTCCTTACGCGCCCAAACAGCAAACTCGGGTAGATTGGGCATAGCCTAGAGCGGAAGAATATTTTGGATACCAAAATGCGTCTGTTACAATTTACGTTCTTTCTAATCAAAATGCTGTAAACACTGTAGTGTTTCCAGTTTTATTTCGAAATAAGCTTTATTTACAGCATTAATATTCTGTAGTAAAAGCTATGATTAAAAAAAAATGCAACACCCGTGACTTATTCAATTTTCTGATTCTGTAGCTATAACCAATCAGAAAGGAGACCTTGTCATCTCGACTAAACAGCTCAATAACCAAAACATCTCTCGATCAACCGCTGCGGTTACAAACAACGTAAGAAACCAATCAGAACACAAAATATCGCTAGCAAAAAAGAAGTTATCTTAGTCTTCTTATAACTTGCTTGGAATAGCAAAACAACCTTTTGCTGTTCTTGGTTAGATCTATTGCACGACTTTCCTTAAAGCCAAAACAAGCGGGTACGTACTTCCTTATATTGTTCACCTGAAAAGTATAAGTATACTACTGAAGTACTGAATTACTATGTAGATGAAAATCATGGACACTAACTAACAAGACTACTTATTTTAAGTGTTAATAATCGTATATGTAGATAATCCTAACAAAAGCTTTGTATGTTGGCATTGTTTGTTAATATTTGAAATGATATAATTCAAAATCTGTACATGTAAAGGATGAAAACAATAAAAGCTTTGTCCAAGGCGAGGAAAACTAATGCAGCGATCGATGAATTGCCACAGTGAATTGATTTAAGTCGATGTACAACACTAGACTAACATTAGATGACTTGCTTAAAAGCTTAGCTTGCTTAAAACGCTGCTTTATCTATATAATTATCAAGTCTGCCAAAAGAGGGAGCTCATCTTCATTTAACTCTTTCAATATTTAGCTAGTTCAACAAGCAATATAAATAAACCTGTTAGCTGGGAATGACAATGATAAAGACGCCACAACAATATACACTGTAGTTACCTTAACGACTCTCTTAGCTGCTAAACAGATCTGGTGAGGAAATGATTTGATTCTCAATTTTAGCCTTTTAATTTCCTCTGCGAAATCGAATTTTGAACAACTTTTAAGAAACGTGAGAGTCACTCCTGGAGATCAAGGACTACCTTCCTTTTCTTCTTAACCGGCTGTTTTCCTTTCTTCTGAGTCTGCAATGCAAGTCCTTGCAATTGTTCAGTTCCTGTCTAAGAGTGAACTTCTTTCCACACTGCGAGCACTCGTAAGGATTCTTAGCAGTGTGTTTCCTCTCATGGAACTGCCGCTGACATCCTTGAGCAAAGCTCTTACTGCAAAAGTTACATTTGTAAGGCTTCTCTCCTTTGTGTGTCCTAGTATGCTTCTTCAGGTTGTAGCTATCAACAAATGCTTTCTCGCACTGTTGGCATGCATAGGGTTTCTCCCCAGTGTGAGAACGCTTGTGGATCTGGAAGCGGCTTAATTGGGTAAACTGTTTCGAGCACTGATCACAACTGCATGGTTTTTCATTGGTCTGCCTGATTTTGTGTTGAGCCATTGCGTGTCTTATTTTTGTAGCATAAGGACAGTGTTCGCATCGTAAAACGTCCGCTGTATGAGACGTGGAGTGAATCCACCGCATCGAAGGTGTTTTAAAGGTTTCAGGGCAATGTTTGCACTTGTACTCTTTCTTTCCAACATTGTTTTTCACGTTGCACTCGTTGTCGTGGAAGAGCAAACGCCTCATCACAATGCCGGCACTCATAAGGCTTCTCTCCAGTGTGAACACGAACGTGCTCCCTTAGTTTTGTGTCAAATTTGTACGATTTAGGCCAGTGTGGACACTTAAAAGGCTTCCCACTTCCATGGCGAGTCAGATGAATATTAAGAGCACTTTGAATCTTGAAGGCCTTTCCACATTGCTCGCACTTAAAGTGGTACTATGATCAAATTTTTACCCCTCCATTTTTTAGGTGTATCGCATAGAGTCCCATGAAAGAATAAAAACGCCGTTTACCGTTTTCAAATATCTGCACTAGTTCCGGAGATATTTAAATTTGAAAAATGTGTAAAATATGCAAATGAGATGACTGATGACGTCATACACTCAGCCCAATATTATATTAAGTATATAAATGAAGCTATCTCGGTCAATTTACAGCAGAATCCATTGAAACTTGGTAGGCTAATAGTTCTACGGGAAACACACCTACGGCTATAAAAAAATTCTGTTCCCATCGCAACTCACTCTTTTCCAGTCCCCACCAACTTGATTTCAATATGTTAGTGATTTTCAGCTTGAAAAACATTAAACGAGGCCAGGAGTTCGAGCTAACATATTTAT